TTGGGGGTGTTTTTGGGGGTGCGCATATGGTGGAAACCCTAAACGCGCATCTCGAAGCTAAGTGCTTCGAAACATGTAACCCTAAACCCTAAACCCTAAACCCTAAGCCCTAAACCCTTTAGGGAGGCCTCGCATCGGGAATTCCGAAATCTCAGGGGAGTGCTGCTATGTCCACCAGCAGATGGAAATCCTGGCGCTTCGGGGCATGGAGTTTGGGTTTCTGCCGTTTGGGGTGTGGGGTTGCGGGTGTGGCGTGGGATTGAGGGTTTTGGGGTGTGTGGGTTTAGGGTTTGGGGTTCAGGGTTTAGGGTTTTGCTGCCTCTCAGACGTGTCCAGGGCCTGAAGCTGAATCCCTGAACCCGAAAACCTAAACACTAAACCCTGAACCCTAAACCCTGAACCCTGAACCCAACACAAGCACCTTGACCCGCCCATCGCCTCCCTCCATGTCCTCATGGGCAGGACACTTGAGAGTTTAGGGTTTAGGGTTTATAACCAGGTCAATATGATATAGGTAGATGGACCCTTAGGGTAAGCCAACGCTTTTGACTTTAATCCCTACGAACTAAGACACAAGTGCAATCTGGTAAAGCTTCAAGGGTTCACCCAGTGGCGTACTCGAAGCAATCTCGCTAGTGAGGTTTTGAAGAATTGACGCAGAATGTTGCAAGCAGGCTTGGCTGATGTTGCTAGCTTCCCTAAGGGTCCATGTGCCTAAGTAGGGAATACTTGGGCCTTAGATACTTGCTATACAAGGACTTTGGGGCCCAAGCATATATTAAAAAGGTACATGGACGCTTAGGGCTTTGCTGCCGGGGATTGTCTCCATCTTCAGCGAACGGTATTCCTAACGTTGCTGCGGGTGGAAAAGACAGAGGTTGTCAGCTGCGTTGAGGTCTAGGTCTAGGTGCTCAAGGTCGAAGCAGACATGCCTATGTTACACCCTCGGGTTATCGCCGTTCACCCTATTCACTGGTCTACAGGGTCTACAAGCCCCAACACAAGCCTCTGGACAACAGGCCGACTCGTGTCACGATGATACATGGCTTCCGCCGCGTTTCATTTTCTTTGAGGTCTGAAGCGTTGAGATGTATAGAGCTGTTGGGCTTGGAGGTGTCAAGCCTATTAGAACAGATACCCTAAGCACTTCACCCTAAAGCCTAAACCCGAAACCGCCGGGTTCAGAAAACTGGAAATCAAGAACTTGATGGCGAGCGCCTCGTCCCAGATGCAGCTCCCGGTGGGTCCGATCCTGCACGCCCCAGGGTTTAGGGTTTAGGGTTTAGGGTTTAGGGTTTAGGGTTACAGGCCAGAAGGATGATCGCAAGCCTTCTGGGGCGCTGAACGCATCCGCTTCTTCAGCATGCGGCCACTTTCAGCACCTCCTTTTCCCCTGCCTGCCCCAAACAACTAGCACAAACACCTGGTTTAGATAACAGACCCAACCCTATAGCACGTCGTGAGCCCTAAATCCAACACCTTCAAGATCGGCTCAGAAGCCCAACTGTGAGAAAACGCATGAGGGTTTTGAGGGAGTGTTTTCGGGGGGTATTCCTGCACCCTGACTCCAGCTCGCCTGCGATCAAGGGGGGTATCGCCTAGCTTGGTACTTCAAACCCCCCAACAGAGCGCTTTCAAATCTGGGGCACCCCCCCCCCCCCCTACTCTATCCTACCAACTCCCAGAATAAGACCCCTAAGTTTGAAGGAGAAACATACTACTTCCATAACTCTTCCTTACAAAAGGCAAACGACTTTGGAGGCTGAGGGCTGCCATTTGGGTTGAAGCTCTAACCCCGGAACCGGCTGTCAGAAAGCCTGAATGGAAGGGCCCTTTATAGGGTTTCGGGCTCAGCCTAGAAAGGGAGCACCGTTTAGAGACCCGGCCCATGTATAGCCTGCCTTGAGGTATAGAGGGAAGTTCTCCCCACTTCCTCAGTCCTCACTTCCCCAAGGCTTGTTTACTTACAACACATTTTTGGGGGGGCCGTTTAGGGCCTGTATAACTCCAGGAGAAGGGGGTCCTGCTGGCAAGCCCTAAACCCTAAACCCTAAACCCTAAACCCTAAACCCTAAACCCTAAACCCTAAACCCTAAACCCCACACTTCAAACCCTAAACCGCCTGGCCACAGACGACTGGTGACCGGGATCCCGTCCACGGAGCCCGAGGCACACGACCTCATTGATATGTTTTTTTCTCTTTCTGTTGTTGCTTCAGAGGGTTTGGGGTTTATAGGTCTAGGGTTTAGGGCTTAGGGCTTAGGACTTCTTCGGGCTGGGGGGTCAAGACTTCGGGAGATGGGCTTAAGCTTGAAATAGGGGATACAAGGATGGGATTTTGGACAAAGTATTGCGGAGGACCCGGATATCTTTCTGTAGAGCACCATGTTGCTTGGGCTTCTGCGGGAGCTCCAACCGCTTAAGAAGTTGCGCACATGTGTTGGGTAGAAATTCAGGGTTTGGGGGCTTAGGGTATAGATTAACCCAGCAGATTCTACTGCTTGGGACCAAAACTGCAGTACAGGGCATTTGGAGACTTCTATGACCTTCCTTCTGCAACGTTGCTGGCCCAATAAGCAACCCACGCTTTTCATGCGGCGAATGCTGAATCGATTACATGTCCTGGTGCAAAACCGAATTATGTCGACTGACAGGATTTTCCACCGTAAGCGCAGCATGGCAACTGTTGTTGTCAATTCCAACATCAATGAAATGTGGATACACGGGGCTGCAAAAGAAGGTTGGACAGCCTAAAGTCAGAACCTCGATAGCATTGGGTCATATACCCCATGCTACCGGAAGCCTCCACAAGTGTCAACCCTGTCTGCCAAACCTTCGACCCAACGGATCCCTTATATGGGTATTTCCCAAAATCGGGGTACCTAAACTAGACTAGAACCCCCTCAAAGGGACCCCCCAAAAAAGGGTACCCCTATTTTCGGAGACAATATCTTGGGGTGGTTTAGGCGCCCCCTGCATCCTCCCAAGGCAATGTCGCTTTTGTTCGAGCGGCATCGACACATCGTCTTGGGGTCGGTCGGGCCTTAAGCTGGGTATACTGACCTCAAAAGTTCAGTCCGGTCGCCGTAGTAGGTGCAGCAAGGATGTGCATCTCCGTGCTTGGACTTGGGCGACATTCCAAACGCCTGTAAGCTTCGCCGGAGAAGGAGGGAAGCGATTCGGATGCAGATTTGCAGGCGTGCCAGTCAAGGTTTGCAACATAGGGCGTCCCAAAGAGGTGTACGTGTGTCCAGAGCACTCAAGCTGCATCGGCCTGGGCTTTCGCACTTTCAGAAGTAGGGTTTAGGGTTTGGGATTTACGCTTCAGGAATTTTCTGGGTAATCCGAACACCCTAAGTTATCCCAAGTCCAATCCCTAAGCGGGGCCCGAGTTTGCAACCGCCCAAGCACCAACTCCAAACCAGCTCAATTGGCTGTCTCACACCGGACTCCATGGAAAAGCGACAGCATGAAGACAAGCAACACGGAATAGCCGCCATAACCCTAGACCCTAAACCCTAAACCCTAAACCCTAAACCCTAAACCCGCATCTATGCAACCCCAACAACGCCAAGCGAACAAGCAAAGCTCTCAGAGGGATCTGCCGACCGGAAGATGGCATTTGGGATGTTTCCTCCTTATACTAATTAGCAGCCCTTAAAAAAGGGATTGTAGTAGGGGGTACCATAATCCATCTCCAGGACCCTAAACCCTAGACCCTAAACCCTAAACCCTAAACCCAAAAAGTGTCCAGATAGGTCACGCCCGAGCCCAGGCGGGAGCGTGATTTTTGGTCCCAGAAAGTGAGCGGGCTTCGAGAAATCGCGCCGGCCCGGACCGGGTCCCAGTGTTGACACACAGGGGTTTAGGGTTAAGGGTTTAGGGTTTAGGGCTGGGGAACAACAAACCCAGCAGCCCAGCACTGATGCATCCTAGACGGAGCAGAACTTAAATGCCCCAAACTCCGAATCCTAAACCTCAAACCAAAAGATAAGACTAAACTCAAACAACGAAGCTCTGTGCCCCCACGGTTTCTTGCCCTAGAGATCCCGCAGAAGGCCTATGTCTGCAAACCCTAAACCCTAAACCCTAAACCCTAAACCCTAAACCCTAAACCCTAAACCCTAAACCCTAAACCCTAAACCCTAAACCCTAAACCCTAAACCCTAAACCCTAAACCCTATCAGACGAAGGTTCATCAAGATCGTCGCACGGCTTTGAAAGATCAAGGCTGCAGTCTCGAGCTCCTTTCGGGAGAGCTTCTTTTTTTTTTTTTTTTTTTTTGGGGGGGGGGGGGGGGGGTTCAGGGGTTCTTTCGGGTCTTAAGCTTAGGGTTCAGGGTTTCGGGCTTAGGGTAGGGGAGTTCAGGGGTTCTTTCGGGTCTTAAGCTTAGGGTTCAGGGCTTCGGGCTTAGGGTAGGGGAGTTCAGGGGTTCTGTCAGGTTTTAAGCTTAGGGTTCAGGGTTCAGGGTTTTCAGGGTTTAGAGCTTAGGGTTTCGGGTTTGGGGGTTTGGGGGTGGGAGTGCAATGAAGCCCTTACGTAGGAGCAGGAGGAATCGAGGAATGTCGTTAGGAAACAAGCACACCAGGAGTCGCTACTGCATACACGGTTTCGACATGCAGGTCTAGAGGGGCCTCCAGCTCTTGAAGTAGGAAACCCTAAACCCTAAACCCTATAAACCCTAAACCCTAAACCCTAAACCCTAAACCCTAAACCCTAAACCCTAAACCCTAAACCCTAAACCCTAAACCCTAAACCCTAAGCCCTAAACCCTAAACCCTAAACCCTAAACCCTAAACCCAAACCCTAAACCCTAAGCCCTACCTCCCCTGCTTGCTTAACTGGAGCGCGAACCTTGTCATGCGAAGACCAGCAGCCTGCTGCCAGTGAAGCTTTGTGATGATATACCGGGGCAGAACTTGTTGGGGCAGCCGGCGCGTTGCCATGTGGCTTTCTCTGCTCATCTGAACATCTTGCGGCACTCGCGGGGGCGCCAGCCTCTAGAAAAACATGCGCCGATCCACGTCGATGAACCGCTGGCTACTTCGCAGCCGATGCATGTTGATGAGATCGATGAACTTCGACGCGGATGCCTTTGGATAGGGCTGGTAGGATGCGCATCCGCGGTGGAGCAGCGATAGCACGTAGCCGATGCTACTTCCGAAAGATGAGATGATCAGATGAAGCGATTGTGTCATACATCGGATGTCACGCAGCAAGCCGATCAGGCCAAACAGCTCGGGTGCAATGTGCACCTTGGCCTTGGTGATGTTCGCGATGAAATCTGCCATCTTATCGAACTTAGAGTTGCATGTCAAGCCGGAGCCACCACCGTGCGCCTTGCGGTTGCCAAGCAGAACAATGTGCTGAATTCCCTCGGTCACCTTGGTAGCCCGGCAAGCATACTACAATAAGGGTACCCTTTTGTGGGTTGGCTACTTTCTAAGAAACCTTGACCCAACAAACAGGGCGAAAGGGTAGCACTGGGCTGGCAAGTCACAACGGGTAGAAAGTTGCGAAGCCAGGCTGGGTCGAGCATGTAATGCCTGCTAAAGCCCCCTTTCCGGGCAATGTCCCCGCAGCGCATGTGGATCGCCGCAAACACAGCGCCGACCGGCAAAGTCTCTACGTGGCTGCACGCCGGCTCCTGCTCAAGACCATGCGACTTTAGGGCAAAGTAGGTTCCCCGAATCCACTCTTCTTGAAGCTCAGCCAGTGCAATGTTAAAGCCAAATGAATACCATACACAGGTCGGCAGTTGACCATCGAAATTCCGTGCGTGTGTCCAACGTCTGCACAGATCACGCTGGCTTCTGTTCTCGCGTAGATCAGAATCCGCGCAGTAGGGCAATCTCAAGAACTTCCGGTCCAAACTGGCTGCGGCAAATCTTGACGGCCCACACACGCTCCTATCGGTAAACTCTTCCGCCCATAAGAACCATGCATTTCCGAAATGATCCGGCCATCTCTTCGACAAGTTTCGCCTGTGACCCAAACAGGTATTGATAACTTTCTCCCGGTCGGCCAGGAAATCCGAAGTGTGGAAGTTTCCATCAATGCCTGGGACATCCCTGACCTCACCCGGGACAGAGAAGTTCGGCTGATCGGGACATCTCAACTCCTGCAGAAAGGACTTCGGTACGTCGGCGCAAGTTGTCGGTGCCTGGCTGTCGTTGCTGCCAGGAGGCTGGGTATGGAGCTTCACGGCACTCGTCCCGGTGGCACTTGACCGGCGCTGAAACAACGAAGGAGGCAGCGAAGACCATCCGTCGCTGAACATCAGGCCTTCGTAGCCCAATAACCATGTTATAGTAAGGGCACCTTTTTTTGGGTTGGTTACTTTATAATGAAGGAACCTTGAACCCCCAAAAAAAGGAAAAGGGTACCATTGGGCTACAAAGAGACTGGCCGGCGCCATGAGGAGCACCAGCAAGGTAGCCAGCAGAGCGCCCCAACGCACAGAGGAGTCGGGAGTCGCTCCATCCATTCCACAGACGAAAATGCCAAGAGAGAAGCAGCTTCTAACATCGGAGCTTCACTTGAAACCAATACCCCCATACAAGCCCCTATAGCCCTGACTATAATATCCATGATTATACTATCTCTATCTACTTATCATATACGAATACACATACATACGGTATATCGATTTAGAGATGGAAGTACTTTGGGCCTCCTTTGAAAATTGGCAGGATCCATGGGGCTACGGCCGCGATGGTCTGACAGAGGCTCAAGCCCCAAGGCGACTCAAGGGATATTACCTTGGACCCTTAAGGTTGTACCCGTTTAGGGTTTAGGGTTTAGGGTTTAGCGTTTAGGGTTTAGGGTTTAGAGTTTAGGGTTTAGGGTTTAGGGCTTGGAGTTCCTTCTGGTTTTCTGGGGGGGGAACCTTTCTTAAAAGGTCCTTCAGCTAGTATAAAGGGCCATCTCTGGAGTAGATTAAGGGGCACGAACTTAGGGGTAGGAATCTTCATCCCTTGAGCTAATCTGCAATCTGAGGGTAGCTTCATGGGCCCTCGACATGGTCCCTAACCTCCTTTGACAGGGTTCGGATGTATGGGCCCTGGCATTTGCATTGGGTATGTCAGGGGTATATAAGGGGCTCCCTTTGAAGGGCCCATACTGAGGGGCCATGTAACTACCCTAAGATGAACTACGCTGCAAGGCTGTGTTGATGTCTGCCAGTCCGTGGCCTCCGAGATCTGTAACCTGCAGGGCTTAAACCTTTAAACCCTAGACCCTAGACCATAGACCCTAAACCCTAAACCCTAAACCCTAAATCCTAAACCCTAAACACGAACCTAAACCCTAAACCCTAAACCCCGAATTCGCATTGCGATGGGCCCACTGAGTGTCCAACGATCTGGTTGGCCTCGAGGTCGACGCCTTGCATGCACGGCGGTTTGGTTTAAGGTTAAGGTCGGACTCAGGGTTTAGGGTTTAGGGTTTAGGGTTTAGGGTTTAGGGTTTAGGGTTTAGGGTTTAGGGTTTAGGGTTTAGGGTTTAGGGCTTAGGGTTCAGGAGGGTTTAGGGTTTAGGTTTTACGGTTTAGGGTTTAGAACTTAGGGCTTAGGGTTGGAGAGCCCTAAGCCCTAAACCCTATAAACCCTAAACCAAAAGACCCTGAACCCTAAACCGTTAACCCTATAGACCTTGAACCCTAAACAGCCGAGGCCAGTAGGCCACTGGCACAACACCACCAATCCAGGGTCGTTACGCTCAGGGCTTAGTGTCAGTGTTTTGTCATGAGGGGGCTTAGGGCGTAGGGTTTCGGCGGTCAGGGTTTGCGACTACTAATGTTCATATTACTACGAGTACGACGACTACTACTACTACTACTACTACTACTACTACTACTACTACTACTACTACTACTACTACTACTACTACTACTACTACTACTACTACTACGATTACACATCACAGGGTCTTGCCCCATTAAAAGCAGGAAGTGGAACAGATGAGAACAAAAGCCATTCATGGGGGTTCTGGGGGGGGGGGGGGTTATTAGAGTTTAGATCCTTTCGCATGCCGCGTCCAGGGCTGTAGGGTTCAACCTCGAAGTCAGCTGAGCCCAAAACTGACCGTGCACCAGCTCTGAATGGGCTTCCCAACATAGAGGGGGGGGGGCTTTTTTTCGGGTGTTCCGATGATGAGGAGTTATTTGGGGTATGCTAGAGAAACCCCCTTGTGCAGAGCTGGTTCACTTGGTCTGGTGGAAGCTTCTTGAATGGACAAAACAACAGCAGTTGTCCAATGCAACAGCGGCCAGAACCAGCGTTGACACAATAACCCTAAAACCCTAGACCCCTAGGCCGTAAACCTGGTGGCGGATGATTCCCCAGCATGGTATCTGCAAGACAAGCAGAAAGATTGAGGGCCCTAGAGGCCCTAGAGAGAGTTCTGGCCCTCGTCGCAAAAGATGGCACTGCTCGATCCTGTGAGGATCGCTTCTGATATGGGTGTGCGTTGCTTGAGAGAATTTCTGTGCTCCCTCAGCAGGCTTCTTCCAGGGGTCCAACTACCCAAGTGGAATTCGGAATCACAACACTAAAGTTAAAACCCTTGCAATTTGGGCATATTCGCAAGACAAGGCATTCACATGACTGTTGGGAGTCTTGTTTGCAAGAACTCCAGAAAGAGCCCTAGTTTTGAGATGTACCTAGGGCTTAGGGCCGTTTAGGGGCGTGGGACACTTCTTTGGGTATTTGGACCCATGGTGTGTTGCACATGGTGTGTTGTTGGGCGTTCCAACAGCTTGGGTCCGTTTGTGGGGTTCTGGATCGAGTTTAAGCTGTAGGGTTCAGGGTTTAGGCTGCAGCAGCTTGCTTCTGCACATGTCGTTACAAATTCTCGGTCCCCCACTACGTCGAGGCTGTACAACCTCGGCCCATGCTTTTGAAAACCAGCAAGTCACAGCTGGCAGTTGTGTTTCTTGGGGTTGTCCTAGACGAGGGTCCTTTTACACGGACTCTTCATCTAGAACAACCCGCACTTAATTCTCTAGGCTGTACATCTTCTGTAGCTAGACAGGCTTGACCCGTCCACGGAAAGCTCAAGCTATCTTCCCCAGCCCTAAACCCTAAACCCTAAACCCTAAACCCTAAACCCTAAACCCTAAACCCTAAACCCTAAACCCTAAACCCTAAACCTCAGATGGTGGTGAACCCAGACTACAAGTGCATCTGCTCGGTCAGCTCGCCCGGCCCCAGGCGACTCTCGCGAGCAGCATCCACGAGCCCCTGCCACTTCTGCCTCATGACCTGGGCTTGGGGTTTAGGGTTTAGGGTGTAGGGTTTAGGGTTTAGGGTTTAGGGTTTAGGGTTTAGGGTTTAGGGTTTAGGGTTTAGGGTTTAGGGTTTAGGGTTTAGGGTTTAGGGCGCCGGGGGCTTTACCCCGACCACAAACAGACTTGTTTACAGGGCTTGTGTGGTTTTGTTTAAGGTGCTTAGGGTTTAGGGCTGATAGGGCTGTAGGGTTCAGGATTTAGGGCTGAAGGCTTGGGACTTGTTAGAATTTTCCATTGTAGAAACCGCCCAGAGCCTTACTAGGGTTAGGTTAGGGCTTCGGGTAGTACCGTTTGGCTGGACAAACTATGTCCACACAGCAAGTAATCGGGGGCATAGTCTTGGGGGTAGAACGTCCGATCTGTGACATTGTGCACCAGATTCGAGAATCGTTCGGGCTTAGGCATCGAGCGTAGGAATTAGGCCCTAAGTCCAAAGCCCTAATCAGTAGGGTTTAGGGTTCAGGGTACCCTGAATTGGGTTTAGGGTACCCTCAAACCCGACCCCCCGGCCCTCCTCAGCCACCCACCTCGCCGATCCACGAGACCATGGCAACTGTGACATGCCTCGGTTCATGCCTAGGAAATGATAAGCTCTGTCAACATAAGGCCACTATGTCTTCACCCGAAACCCTAAACCCACAAAACCCTACGCCATACACCCTAATCCTAAACCCTAAACCCTAAACCCTTAACCCTAAACTCTAACCCTGAACCCAAATAACGTTTGAGCCCAGATGCTTGTCGACATGTTCGAAGCCGACGGTCTCCTTTGGGTGCGGTGCAGCTGCGGTTTTGTTGGGGTGTCAGTTTAGGGTTTAGGGTTTAGGGTTTAGGGTTTAGGGTTTAGGGTTTAGGGTTTAGGGTTTAGGGTGGAAGGTGATGTAGTTGCAAGATTGACAAGCCTGGAATCGCAAAACACTTTGCCAATGCTACACGAGCTCCTGAATCATAGACTTGACTTTGACCTCATCCTCTTCTTTCCAGGCCTTTGATCGTGCGGAGTCCACGCGGCTCACGCATTGCATGACGTTGTTGATACCCTGATCACCGCGCGAAATCTCCTGACGAGCCTAAACCCCAAAAACCCTAACCCTTAGCCCTTAAGCCTTAACCCTAAACCCTCACCACCCAGTGCAGGAACCTGCCTCTCAGGAGGGTTACTAGAGCTTAACGTTCTAAGAACATACTTCAACATACCCCAAACCCATACCCCTTAACTTATAAAACAAGAACATAAGGAAGCACTCCCCTGAGTTTCTTTTTAAGGGTTTAGGTTTTAGGGTCTAGGAGTTTGCTGAATATTTCTTAGACAAAATAGCATGGCTGCCTCATGGCTCTTCAAAAATGGCCACACTTCTCAAACTTTGGGGCCCCCATAGAAGGATTTCCATGGCGAAGGGCTTGGGGTTTACTGTCTCGAGTTTAAGTTTCCTTTCTTTTTGAAGGTTCTCCTGGTGAAGTAGCCGTGACGCAGATTCGGGCATAACGAAGGTCACCGGGATCTTCAGCTTGGAAGCCACGAACTGCTCATACACCGTCCAGATTCTGCTCAGGTAGATCGGCTCGCGATAAGTATCCAAGATGGCCACCTCTGGTGTCTTCAAGTTCCCGCTAACCCTAAATCCTAAACTCTATAAACCCTGAACCATAAACTCTAAACTATGTAAACCCTCAACTCCATAAGCCTAAACCCTAACTCTAAACTCTATGAACCCTAAACCCTAAACATCCTAAACTCTACAAGCCCAAAACCTCTAGTCTTAGGCCCCCACCATCTTGCCAATGCGGCAGAGGTTGGTCTCAAATACATCCTCAAGGTTAGCGCTGCCAGTCGTCAACTCCTCCACAATGATTCTGAACTGGTTGTTGACCTCGTGCGGGCTAGGGTTTAGGGTTTAAGGTTTAAGGTTTAGGGTTTAGGGCTGAGGGTTGAGGGTTTAGGGCTTAGGGTTTAGCTACTTCTACAACCACAGCAACTAATTGCATTTCTCAACTTGAGGGTGCTGCTGCTCCTTCTCTTGCTGCCACTTCAGCTACTGATAGACTCCCCCGAATCATGTATCACACACTTGCATGGCTTGCTGGTTTGTACAACTACTAGTCTTTATCCTACCTGCGACCTTCAATAGTTTGATCAGGCATACGTGTAGCAGTGCAGTAGTCGCCGCAGGAAGTGTTGAGTCCCAAAAGCATACAGCTGATAAAACGGCGGCCTCCAATATTGAACAACATGTCGGCATAGGCTTTAGGCATCTTTAGGGTATCATCGTTAAATTCCATGGCGAGAGAGCTTAGCTACAGCGACTATGACACAAGCTCAGCACGATGACCAAAGCTCAGTAGTCATAAGAAGACGAAAATGCAGAAGATGTTTCAACAAAAGCGCCACACTGAGAGTTCGGGTCAAGACCGCCTGTTGGTAGGAGGCTATTCTGAACAGCTGTGACCGGCCAATATCCAAAAGAGCAAAACACAACACATGATGAACCGGTTAACCTGCCAGACACCCTTAACTGGAAGCCCAGACCTTTACAGGATCTTGACCGGAGAAGACGAGTCACAAAGAAACACATGAAGAAGAAGACACCGCTGCGGACTGAGTCAAGCGTAGTAGTCGCCCGAAAAGCTTCCAGCGAGCTTCGCACCTCTAGAAACTCTGGAGAGGCTTCGGGCTTTGGGGTTTCTGGGGTTTAGCCTCGGGCTCAGGTCAGGGAAGCCTGCTTTAAAAAATATATGCCAGCGCAGACCCCAAACACTTTGGAAACCTCTCCAAGACTGCCCTACAACCTAAACCCGAAACCCGAAACCGCTCCAAGACCACTCCAGGATCACGCCGAGATCACTCCGGTTTGGGGTTCAGGGTTCAGGGTGTAGGGTCTAGGGGGCCCAAAGGGCCGAGAATTTTGCACTTGACGAGGCGACTGCGCACCAGGCCAGAGCGCCATGTGCTCAAAACCGCACCCGGCAAATCCCGTCGACTGGACGCACAGCCCATCCAACCAGCCAGAATGCAGGAAAGCATGCGCCTGCCGCATCTTCACACGGAACGAAGGAAGCCGCAAAACGTGCACGGGACCTATATAGGTGAGGGCACGACGACGAGTTTACGGAATATGCACGGGACCGAGGCGGTTTGGCGCCCTCCACGAAGCCAACAACATGCTATTGCCCACGAGAACAGAGGGTTTAGGGTTCGGCTTTAGGGTTTAGGGTTTAGGGCTTAGGGCTTAGGGCTTAGGGTTTAGGGTTTAGGGTTGAGGGTTGAGGGTTTAGGGTTTAGGGTTTAGGGAACCCAAAACAAGTGCTGCGCCTGGGCGAGAGCCTCCGCGCACGCCGCCGCGTACGCCCGCGCGAACGCGGAAATCTAAGTCGGCTCCCATAGTGTTGATACACTGCTTGGGGATCCATTTGTTGGGCTGTCTGTTGCACTATCTATATATATATATACATACATATATATATACATATATATATATATACATACACACACTCTTCCATGAATAGGGCGAAGTACAATACTAGGAATCGCAGTATGGAAGGGCCTAGAACTCTTGGCGGCCAGGCTCAAGGTGCATGGCGTCCAGGGTCTACAGTTTAGGGTTTAGGGTTTAGGGTTTAGGGTTTAGCGTTTGGGGTTTGGGGTTTGGGGTTTGGGGTTTGGGGTTTAGGGTGTCGTATTGACAACAACTACTCGACCCAGAGGTCACCAAATAATAAAACAGGTGTGCCCTTTTTGGTTTGAAGGGGGCTTATGGAACCTAAACCCTAAAAAAGGGGAGTAAGGACCTACTCTGGGTCCTAGACTATTTAAAGGGTGGTCCCATACAGAGCACCTGAGCAAGGCTGTACTGCCAAGTCCAAGACATGAAATGTGTCTGCTCGCGTCGGTCATCGCGGTCGATCCAATCGATCAAGGCGCATCCCGGCTTGCCATCGCGGGGGCACACCACGTCCTGGCTAATGGCTAACGGGGCTCTTGGGAATAAGCTTTGTAATTACTGCAACTCATGTATACCTCACTGTTGTCCGCTGCGAGACTGTCTTTGCGGAATGCTCTTGAGTGCTGTGAGGCTGGCTTGGCCACACGCGAGGAGGAAGGAGGAGCAGTTGAGTGTTGAGTTGTTCTGTTTGAGGGCATCCTGACCAATCGGATCATCGGCGAGCCAGAAGGCGTTTTTCATGTCCTTGGTGTAACAGCAGCTGCCCTCAGCAAAGATCTTCAACATCTATGTGAGCTGAACTGTGTACAGTCACAATGTGACCGAGAGGTCGAGTTGCAATAAATGTTGGGTTCTGCTTGCCGGTCCGCTGCGTGGCCAGTTGCTCGAAGCTCTCTGACAGGAGGTAGCCCAGACCGACGCCCGCCCTTTCGCTCTGCAAAGCGCGCGTGCTCATGAGGTGCTTTTCAAAGCCCACTCCATCCATGCCCAAGCGACTGAACTTCAGGGCGTAGTCGCTGAGCATTGCCGGGTGCTCGCACCAAAGGTCTGCATAAAGCTGGCACATCAAGGTCTCAGCCTTCTTGGCTCTCCGAGCTTGCCTGCGAGCTGTCCAGAGACGCCTGCAGACCAACAGGCCAGCAACCCCGACAGCTATGAGCGGTAGGTGCCACCACACACAAGCATCCTCGATGATCAGACAGGGCAAGCTGCACGCATGGCACGTGTCCAGACCGCCAGGGGAAAACTGTGTGGCAGGACAAGGCATACATGAGCTACGCCTGTCAACGGGGTATGAGCCTGCAGGGCAGGCCTGGCACCTGGAGGCATTGGCGGATGCATAGTGACCCACCTCACAAGGCTCACACCCAAGCCGGTTGTGAGCTGGCGCAGTTCCCGCTGCACAAGGAGGAAGCTGAAAAGCATCAGCGCCCTCAAACATGGCATTCATTTGCTGAAGTGCCGATGTATCCCAAGAGCCCAGGGCCTGATTGAAAGCCTTGGCATCTTTGAACATGGAATTCATATACTTCGCGGATGAAGTATCCCAGGATCCAATAGGTTGGTTGAAGGCCTCAGCACCTTTGAACATTCTACTCATGTCGGTGACGGCTGAGGTATCCCAAGACCCAATGGGTTGGTTGAAAGCCACGGCATATTCGAGCATGCTGCTCATGTCCACAACTGCTGAGGTATCCCAGGAATCAATTGGCTGGTTGAAAACCTGATTTGCCCAATCTATTGTGTGGGGGGGGGGAGGGCGGAGGTTCTTAGCCTTAGATGGGGCGTGTAGGGATTAGAGAGCACCAAAAGCTGACTTCGTAATTTACCAGGAAACCTGTTCAGAGAGAAACATGGCGCTCATGGTCCGAACTGCTGAGGTTTCCCAGGAGTCGAGGGGCTGATTGAATGAGACTGCACGGGCAAACATGTAGCTCATACTCGTCACGGCGGAGGTATCCCAAGAGCTGATGGACTGATTGAAATTGTAGTTGTCAAAGAACATGCCAGTCATATCAGTCACAGCTGAAGTATCCCAGGAGCCTATGGGCTGGTCGAAAGGTCCTGCAGCACTGAACATGCTGCTCATGTCAATCACGGCTGAAGTATTCCAGGAACCAATCGGCTGGTTGAAGTACACCGCGTACTCAAACATGTGGCTCATGTCCTAGTTCATGGTTGGGAAAACATTAAAATTCAAGTTGCTATTCCTTATAGGGTTTAAGTACCCTTAAAAATTTAAAATGGTACCCAACTATGACAAAGTGTCGGTCACAGCGGAAGTGTCCCAGGAATCGAGGGGCTGATTGAATGCCATCGTGCCGGCGAACATGTAGCTCATGGTAGTCACAGATGAGGTGTCCCAGGCATTGACAGGCTGATTAAATGCCTGGGCCAAGCCCAAGCTGCACTGAAGAACCCCAACCTTTGCACCCGAAAGACCTCTGACAGACATCTATTGATTCAAGTCCAACCGTCCTGGTCCACAGCATGTTTAAATTCAGACACTATGCTCAGCAACGTGTCGCTTTTACTATGCATATTCTGTAGTGTTCTATGGGTCGGTTAAATATGTTAAAATTCCGAGCAATCTGTAAATATACATATATATATATATATCTATGTATGGTACCCCCCCCCAAAGATCTACCGTTTCCCACCTTTTTTCAATGAAACAAAATCCGTCTGCTTCATAGTGAATTTTCGCAATGCAATAAAATCCGTCTGCCTCACAATGATACGCCCGCGACGCCATTCAGAACTCTCTTCAAAGCTTTCGAAAGCCGGCCGTTTCAATTGAAACGTTTCCGTTTCAATTGAAACGGCCGGGATCCAAGATCCAAGATCCAAGATTTCCCAGGACTCTTGCCGAGGCATCTTGGAATCCCATATCTTGGATTCTGCCCGTTTCAATTGACATGTTTCCGTTTCAGTTGAAACGGCCGGTTTTGGATTTAGGATTCCAAGATGTCCTGGCAAGAGTCCTGGGAAATCTTGGATCTTGGATCTTGAACCCCGGCAGTTTCAATTGAAACGGAAACGTTTCAATTGAAACGCCCGGTTTTCGAGATCTAGGAATCCAAGATGCCTCAGCAAGAGTTCTGGGAAATCTTAGATCTTGGATCTTGGATCCCGGCCGTTTCAATTGAAACGGAAACGTTTCAATTGTTGAACTTCGAAACTCCGGGTTACAGGATTCAAGATCCCGTGGAAACTTTTCCTGCAATCTTGAACCTTGAATCTTGGATCCCGGAGTTTTAAAGCTCAAAACTCTAGATTGAAGTTCAAAACTCACGGAACCCCATAGGGCTAAGGTTTGAAGGTTTAGGGCTTCAGGTTGAGGCATTAGAACCTGAGCCGGCAGTTAAAACTAAACGCTAACATTTAAACCCTATAGGGTTAAGGTTTTAAGGTTTAGGGTTTACGATTTAGGCATTCAAACTTGAGCCGGTAGTTCAGCCTAAACTCTCGACCTTTAAACCCTATAGGGTTAAGGTTTCAAGGCTTAGGGCTCAAGATTTAGTCATTTAACGCTAAGCCCATAGAGTTTAAACCTCAAGGGTTTAAGGTTTAGGTATGAAAACATGAACCCTAAACCCTCTAGGGGTCTAAAAGGTTCAAGGGTGTTCAGCCCACAGGCGCTGAAGGTATAAATGCGCAGACCTTGGGTACATCAGGTTTAGGCATTGAAACCTTGAAGCCCTATAAGGGTTTTTAAAGGTTTAAGGTCAGGGGATTGAAACCTAGGTTTGGGCATTCAAACTGGTTTAAGCCTTAATCCCTGTAGGGTTAGGTATTTAAACCGAATAGCTTACCTTGAAACGCTATAGGTTTAAAGGTTGAGGTTCAACACCTTTAAGCCTCTGGGGTTTAAAGGTTTAGGTTTTTGCAGAGTTTGTCTACCCTATTCGGGGTAGCCCTATAGGGTTTTAGCCCTATAGGGGTTCAAGGTTCAGGGTTTAAGGTTTAGGGCATTGCAACAACCCAACCCTAAACCCTCAGGGATTGAACCCCTTTACTGTTATCCTTAAGCCTTAAAGCATATAGGGTTCAGGGTTATAACGCTGAAGAACCCTTAGGGATTTAACCCCTTTACTGCTTTCCTTAAGGCTGAAAACATATACGGTTTAGGGATATAACGCTGAAGAACCCTCAGGGGTTTAACCCCTTTCCTGTTTTCCTTAAGCCTTAAAGCATATAGGGTGTAGGGTTATCACGCTGAAGGTATAAATGCCCAGACCTTCGGTACATCAGGCTTAGGCATTAAAACCTTTAAGCCCCGTAAGGTTGTTAAAGGTTTAAGGTCAAGCCTTAAACCCTATAGGGCCCTATAGGGTTACGGTTTCTTCAGGGTTTATCAACCCTAAACGCTATGAGGGGTTAATGGTTTAGGGTTTAAGGTTCAGGGCATTGCAAAAACATAACCCTAAACCCTCAGGGATTTAACCACTTTACTGTTTTCCTTAAGCCTTCAGGCATATAGAGTTTAGGGTTATAACGCTAAAATCTATAGGATTAGCACCTTATACCCCTATATATTGTAGGCCTTGAGGCCTAAATCCTAACCGTAAATCCCATAGAGTTCTGTCTATGTTTGTAGGCCTCGCCTCCTGTGGAAATGCAAAGGAAAAGTAGAATAAGTACCCACTGCATGTATGTATATAGGGTATATGTATTGCATATCAAATACAGATAATGGAGATCCTCGAACCAGAAGACTAGGAAGTATTCGAGCGCAAAAGGTACTGTAAGCCCCGGGGACGCGAGAATACTGTGAGCAAAGACGTTTTCACTATTTCCCTCTTAATTGCCGGTTCGGTGTCTTGGGTTGGTGCAGGATCGGTTAGCTATTGTTGCGAGGGACTAGATCGGAAGGGATTCTGGATAGTAAAAGCATTAAAAAAAGGCTAGATCTCTGGGGGGGGGGGGGGAGGCACATATATATATATATATTACAAAGGCAAGCCTAAGCCCTGAACCCTGAATCGTCGGCTAGAGCATCTCTGCGAACCTTCAACAGGGGTCCTGAAGCCCAAATCCCACTTCTGCAAATAAACCCTGCAGACCAGGGCTCAGGGTTTAGGGTTTCGGGTAATACATTTAAACTTTAGGGTTTAGGGTTTAGGGTTTAGGATTTAGGCTTTAGAGTTTAGGGTTTGACACATGTCCGGCTGGGTAAATGCCTCGGCGAAGCCGAACATGCCGCTCATGTCGGTTACGGCGGAGGTATCCTGAGTCGCCCAGTATGCTAGGGTCCTTGGGGCCCACAGGTTCATCTTTGGGAATATATGGGGATTACAATGAATTACCCTCAAGAAAGAAGGTTACCTGTACTCCTACTAAGTATCCCAATCGCTGATGTTCTGGTTGAAAACCTTTGTGCCGCCGAACATGTCCCTCGCATCACGTACGGCAGAGGTGTTCCACGAACCGATGGGCTGATTGAACGCGTCACAATCCTTGAACAGGCTGCCCATGTCAGACACAGCTGAGGTATCCTTGGTTGCTGAGTTCAAAAGCCCAACCAAAAAGTGTACACTTTCAGTTTTATAGGAGATTGCAGTATCCCAAAAAGTGTAAAGCGTACTCATTCAGCTTTTAAGTATCCCAAGAGCTGATGTCTCGATTGAATGCCCTTGCAAAGCGAAACATGAAGCTCATATCCGTCACAGCCGAAGTATCCCAGGCGCCGAGCGGCTGGTTAAAACGCGCTGCAAACCTTGGTAGCCCAGTTAGCATACAAAAAGAGGGTACTAGGGTTTAGGGTTTTATTAGGGTTTAGGGTTTATAGGGTTTATAGGGTTTAGGGTTTAGGATTGGGGACTTTGTAGATATATAAGGGAATCTTGAACCCCCAAAAGAAAGGGTGCAAAAAGGATGCCACTGGGCCGCCAAGTGGCTCAAACATGTGGCTCATGTTGGTTACTGAAGAGGTATCCCACGAGGCGATGGGCTGGTCGAAGACGTGTGCACCCCGAAACATGAAACTCATGTTGGTCACGGCCGCAGTATCCCAAGAACCAATTGGTTGATTGAAAGCATCTGCGTTCTCAAACATCCTGCTCATATCTGTCACTTCCGAAGTATTCCAGAGACTGATGTCTTCGTTGAAGACATTAGAGTTTTCCTCGGGCGCCCAGAGATCTGAACAGAGTCTGCTCATGTTGGTCACGCTGGAAACATCCCATTGCTCGATCTTGCCATACATGGCCACGACGCGAGCTCTGCCTCTGCCAGATTCAGGGGCTATGTTGCTCATTTACAAACAACTGAAGCCTCGAATCCTGAGTACCCCGAAACTCGAGCCTTGTGCCCTCAATCTGCACTTCATTGGGGACGAAATGAACCTTAAAATTGGGGTCATATACCCTCTACTACTATAATCCCTATTAAGGTATTATGAAACACAAACCCTTTTAGGGTTCTGTCGTCCCCAAGGTTATGGAGCTTGAGTTCCGCAACGGCTAATCCCAAACCTCGAAGACCCCAAACCCCCATGTGCGCACCTGTGCCATTTGCTGTCGTATGCACCCAGTCCTTGCAAGATGCTTCTCGGATCCCGCAGAGTTCCCTTTAGGGTTTAGGGGTTTGGGGGTTTAGGGGTTTAGGGGTTTAGGGGTTTAGGGGTTTAGGGGTTTAGGGGTTTAGGGGTTTAGGGGTTTAGGGTGTAAGGTTTAGGGTTGTGGAGTGTAGGGCCGAGGCTGTTTGGGTTAAAGGCTTGTCTTGGGGTTGGGGTTAGTGAGATATCCTGGACCTACGACGCAAAAAGGCTACCCGTTCCGCCCTTGAGTCAACTCGAAAAAATCGTAGGCAAGCAGAGTTTCAGGTAGCTGAGGAAGGCCCAAAATGACAGTAAGGCCCCGGGTGAAGGGTTTTCGGGTTGAGGATTTAAGGTTTACAGGCTTGATAAGGCATGTAGGATTTTAGTTCAGGGCCTGTTGGGTTTGCGCAATTTTTCTACACAGAGTTCTGTGGTACCAGTTTCCGCCTATAAGGGATGCGACGTGTTCTAACCCTAAGGGTCCATGTACAAATAGTTAGAGTTCATACTTGGGACTTAAAGGGGTTCCCATATAGTAGCTTTAGGGCCCAAATATACACTAAATGGGTACATGGACCCTTAGGGTAGCAAGTTGAGAGTTTAGCTTATCTGTACACGCTGACAATCTTGACCAACTGGCACAGGATATCTAAGCTGCCACCCTAAACCCTATACCCTAAACCCTCAACCCTCAACCCTAAACCCCTAACCCCTAACCCCTAAACCCTAAACCCTAAACCCTAAACCCTAAACCCTAAACCCTAAACTGACCGAGCCGAGGCTCCTCTAGTGCGGACCGCAGCTCCTCCCTGCTGCTGAAGGAATAGGTCCCACTAGCCTTAGCTGAACTTGGAACCCTAGCAAATGTTTAGGGTTTAGGGTTTAGGGTTTAGGATTTAGGGTTTAGGGTTTAGGGGTTAGGGTTTCGGGTTTCGGGTTTAGGGCTTAGTACCTGTTTCTTCGGAACTATAGTAGCCCAAAATTCAAAATGATTCCCAAGTATCCCTAAGTAGCGGCAACCAGCACTGTGAGCAGAGGCAAGCCCTTGTGCATGGGGCTTCCGTAAATCCAGCATTTCATTGCGATGCTTCTCGAGGCTCATATGCATTCGACCAAAGGAATGAAGGGCTTTTGGCTTTAGGGTTTAGGGTCTTTTATCTGTACAGAGAGCAAAATCCACGAAACGACTGTCGCACTTACCACCCCCTGGCCCATGATAGCAATCATGGGACCTGACATGCTCAGGGTCCGAGGTCCACATGGCCGCAGTTGCGCAAGGAAGTTTCATGGAGGTCATAGTGCTGCATATGTGTAAATAAATAAATATATATATATATATATATGAGCTATCAAAATTATGCAAGACATGTAAATATACGTACAATTGATATAACTAGGGTTCAGGGTTGAGGGCTTCACGGCTGAGTCAAATAAAGGGTTGGAGGCGAATAAGGCCAAGCCACGGTGGCCAAACCTGGTATTTTCCCCTCTTCTTGGTAGCCCAGTAACCATATTAGAATAAGGGCACCCTTTTTGGGCCAGGTTATTGTTATAAGGGAACCCATAACCAACAAAAGTAGAAAGGGTACCACTGGGCTACCAAGTCTTCTATGGGGAACATGAGACAGGGCTGCGGTCTAGGGTTTGGGTTCAAGGTTTGGAGTTTATGGGGCTTATAAGGAGTGTAGGGTTTAGAGTTCGTATTGCTGTAATTGGTGCGTGTATATAGGGTTCCTGATAAATATTGGTGAGTGTATCTCATGGGTGTCCTTTTGGGATGCGAGTAAGATAAGACCTACTTCAGATACGTTGCTGACAGTAAGCTCTACACTTCAAAAGGCCCTGGAGCCAGGCGCAAACACGAAACCCTAAACCCTAAAACCCTAAAACCCTAAATCCTAAACCCTAAACCCTAAACCCTAAACCCTACATGCTCGAATTGCCCACCTGTGTCCTCCAGATCCAGAAGCCCGTGGGCCTGTCTCTCTCGCGTGCGCGGAGACAGAAGGGGCTTAGGAGGACTTGCAGGCATGGGGCTTTGGGGGCGGCTGGGGGTTTATGTTCCGGGGTTGCAAGGGCTTACGGTTTTTTTTTGCGCTTTAGGTGCTGTGGGATTTCAAAACCCTTACAAACCCTAAACGCTATTCCCTAAAATCCTAAGTCCTAAACCCTAAGCTCTAAAAATCCAAAATCCTAAACCCTAAGTTCTAAAACTCCTAAACCCTATAAGCTCTAAAGTTTGCTTTTTTGCACGGTTTGCGGGGGTCGGGCTGCAGGGTCTCAGGGAAGTGGTTTGCTTTCGGAAGGAGAGGCACAGGTCGAGCTCCCTAAAGCCTAGAATTCCTATAAGCCCTATCTAGATTTGCGGCCCCTTAAAGCACAGTTCGTGTGGTAAGGGTGATAGCGTGTGGGGCTTTTGCGGCTTTCGGGTTCTTGGGGTTGGGGGAGGGGGGTGGGGGGGGGGGGTGGGGGGGCCAGTTTTTTTGAGGTCAGCTTTGTTTTTGGAATGGAACTTAGTCGGTGATTTGGGGAAGGGGCGGGGAACCCTAAGCTAAACCCGAAATATCCGGGTTGAGGGTGAGAGGGCATTTTGGTAGGGCTTCAGGAGGTTTTGAAGGATTGAGGTGTAGGGTGAGGGCCTCAAGTACAAGATCTTTGGTTGTTCAGTCCCTCAAGCAGTCGGTAGCGCTGTAGATCCCAGTGGGGTTTCCCTTGTGGTGGACTACAGCGGCCAAAAGGGGAGCAGATGCTGTAACCCAAACACTGAACTCTCAACCCTAACCGTGACACCTCTTCCACAGAAAGCATTGAATAGGTTTAGATAAGGGTGTAGGGTTATAGGGTTTAGGAGGACAAGGGGTGGACACCCAGAGGTTTAAACGTGAGTTTTTGGCCTACCAAAGGTGCCTCGGATTAGTGCTTAAGCTCGGCTTGTCAGCTGCTTAGAGAAACAACTTGGGAAAGTTCACGATGAGATCACATACAGCCTGTATGTATTCTGCCTTGAGGGTTTAGGGTCTAGGGTTTAGGGTTTAGAGTCTAGGGCTGTAGGGTGACCGAGCCCGACCAAGCGAACCCCAAAAGGCTCATAGCCCACGTACTTCCTTGAGCTCGCGTGTGGCATGTGACCCCAAGTTGTCGGTTTTAGGGTTTAGGGTTTAGGGTTCATCCCAAGAGGTAGAAGGATGCTGCGGCTACTTGTCGGTGCTTGGCCTACGGTATCACATGCCGCGCTGCTCCCACCTCGATCAAGACACCGGAGATTACATACTGAGGCATGACGGTCGCACCTGGCCACCAAGGCGATGAAATCAGGAACCCTGAACTGCATGTATTTCCCCCTCCCCCCCCAAACCCTTAAGCCCTATACAGCCCTAAACCACAAACCCTAAAGCCTCTAACCCCCCCAAACCTGCGACCAGCCAGGCGTTCGAGGTGTGCACAGGAAGGCGCTGAGATGATACTTAAACTAGAGGCACCTTGAGTCTGAGACGCCACCTCCTCTCCCCGCCCTTGAAACAAGTCGCGGGATTTCTTGTTTGGGGGTTTACAGGTTCCTTAAACCCTAAACCCTAAACCCTAAACCCGAAACCCCAATTAAACTGCAATTCAGGGTACCCGACTTAAGGACGGGCCCCTTCGACTTCATTGCGGTTTTTGGTCGCCAGGGCCTAAGTTTGTGGGAAGTCGGGGACCAAGCTCACTCACCCTAAGGCTCACGACCCTCAAAGCAGGTACCGCCCAGTTTTCCAGGGAGGGTCTCAATTCCCAGAGTTTTGAAGGCCCAAGACTTACCATAGCGGCCCCCCCCCCCCCCCCCCTCCCCCCCCCTTCCCCCCCCCCCCCCCCCCTCCCCCTTCCCCCCCCCCCCCCCCCTCCCTCCCCCCCCCCCTCCCCCCCCCCCCCTGCTTTGTGCAGAACAACTCTAGGGCTGCGGCTACTTGTTCTTTAAGCATCAGGACTCACGACCCCCTTTGCTACCCTCAATCTAATACAGTCCTAGGATGGCCGTTCTCAAATCCTCTGAAAAATATTCCTGAATATGATCCTCTTAAACCCAATAAGGGCAAATCTGATATGTCCCAAGGGCCTACCTACAGTCCGTTTACCACCTCTTAAGGATCCGCAGGAAAAGGAGCCATGAATTCGCCACACCGCCTGGGCTCCTGCACTTCTTGAACATCCCCTTAAACTCCAAGACTGATTCACCACACCCCAAACCCATGCCCCTGAACCTGTAAAAGGAAATTATAAGGGAGTCTAAGGGAGGATATTACCATACCCTTCAATTTCTTTCTTTTAAGGGTATGGTTAAGGGGTATGTTGAATTTTTCTTCGACAAACAGGGACCCCTAGGAGACAGCCTACGCATGGCTTACACAAGGCATGGGACCATGTCGGACACATGTGGGGACTGCAAAACTAATGCTAAACCCACAAGCCTAAACCCCAAACCCTAAACCCTAATCCCTAAACCCTAAACACAGCCACCCACCCCACACTTCCATAAGAGTCGCCTTCTTCATGGCAGGGCTACGCCCCCACGTCGCGTCCCCACGTTGAAGCCGAAATGAGGACCGCGGCTGTTGCCCTAAACACAAAAAGTCCTGAACCCTACTGTGATCCCTAAACCCTAAACCCTAAACCCCAAACCCCAAACCCTATCACCTGTGAAAGCACAGAGACTTAAGCCCGGAGCTGTCGAAAACCCATAGGCCGCCATGTGGTGAGCTCTCTAAATGATGGTCCCTTTTTTGGTTCCCAATTCTACTAGGGTTTGTAGGGTTTAGGGTTTATGGGGGTATAGGGTTTAGGGCGTATAGGGTTTAGGGTGTAGGGTTTTGGGTTCTACGGCCGCAAATATATGTGTATATATATATATATATATAAGTACGCAGAAAAGGGACCACAATTGAGAGAATGACCATGTGCGCACCTGCAGGTCCTGAGTCCTCTCAAATCTAGCTACACCCTGTGCACCTTCACCCCATTTCTAGTTTCTTCCTGTTGTCAGCTTGTACCTGAAAGAAAGTGAACTATCAAAAGGAGCTAAACAATTGGGTGTGGGGGTCCGGGAAGCCCGAAACCCTACGCCCAAAAAACCCAGACCATTCACTTGGCCTGAGGCTCTGCGCACGGGATCGGGTTTCTTCATGGTTCTTCGCCATCGTGTCGGGTTTTTCGGGAACTCGAAAGGTCTGCACTCCCATACGCATGATGCAACTTGACCACCCTCAACCCTAAACCCTAAACCCTAACCCCCAAACCCTAAACCTGGATTGTGGACTGCCAGAAGCCGGAGAATACCCAGAAGCCCACAGGGTAAAACCCGAAAGCCAAAAGCACAGAAGCCCCAAAACCTGGCGCAACCTTTTTCCAACAACTGTCTTAGTTGTCCAGAAACCTGGGGGAATTAAAGGTTAACCTTTTGGATTCTAAGGGTATTCTACAACCCCAAAAAGGTTAAAGGTTACCTACTCTACTACTAGGCTGTTGAGTCAACTTCCCTTTAGTGAAAGGGCAATACAAGGCCTTTGACTAGTATACTTACATATAGGGACCATAAGGGAATACCATGAGACAATTGTTCCGACCCCTATAGTATGCAATATGCAGGTTGCTCTTGGTAGGGTACCCTAAACCCTAAACCCTAAACCCTAAACCCTAAACCCTAAACCCTAAACCCTAAACCCTAAACCCTAAACCCCAAACCGGTGCAGAACGCAGAGCCGCCCAAAGCTTTTCCGCACGGTCAGAGCCAGAATCCACGTGCCCAGGCCCTGAGCCTGGGACTAAACGCTAAAACTAAACCCTAAACCCTGAACCCTGAACCCTAAACCCTAAACCCTAACACCTTATACCTTAATCAGAATATATCCCAAAATCCAAGTTCCTGGGGTTTGAAACTCGACAGGCGAAGGCTTCGGTTTTAGGGCCAAGTCTTGCACATGTTTGTGGTGTGATCCTTAACAACGTACCCCGCATGATCTGTTACCCCTCCGCAGTTGAGCGAGGCTAAGACTCAACGCCCTGACTAAAGTACATAAGACACCAAGCCCAAACCACAGGCGGTTTATGAT